TAATAGAATTCTTAGAATTAGTAGCAAAATATTCGGGATAGTAATCTTATATATAAGCTCGAATCTGAGGTATAACCATTTATGGAAAAGATGTTAGTATAAGTATCTGATTGTTCTTAAATAAATCCAAGAAAGGTTCCTCTGGATTTGTTATATACGTAATCGTTATTTCTAAAGGAAGTAATATAACTTTACCGGAATTTGGCAAAGTTATTTTGGAATTAATATCATAATCAATTTCTTTAACCTTCTCAATATATTTAGCTTCTAAATACTTATAATACAGCTTTACCGATATAGATCTAAATCTTGTAGATTTATAAAATAGATTAAGAGTATATATTTCCCTTTTCATATTAATAAATGAAAAAGGTTCTTTCCACTTACCAATAACTATTCCATTACCCTCTCTTCAGATCAAAACCTTACTGTTTAATAGCAAGTCATAAAGTACAGTCGTAAAGGGTTCGTTGTATATATTCAAGGCCTCTCATACTTATATAGAATTATATAATCTGCAAACCTCTATTATAATTTTAGAGATCGCAACAATATATTATTGAATAATAGATATCGAAAAGCTGATATCGATTATGCAGGGAAAAATACCAAAAACGAATAAAGTAGACATTAAACCATCAGATCCAATAATATCATTAATTGCCTTTATAGCCATCTGGAATATAATTGTTTTACAAATACTGAGTTTATAAACTTCTTTATAAATAATCTTATAAGATTTTTATAATAATACATGAAATCTCTCAACAATACCAATCGAATAATACATCTTCATAGGGACTATCTTTATCTGAATAAATATTAATATAATATATTATTGAAACTCTTTTTCAACGAAATTGGTACTAATATTATAAATGATATACTCTGGTGGACCAATATATATATTAATCTAGTACTCATAGAGTTTATCCCATATATACTTTATAGATACATTGCTTAACCATCGAACAGCTTGAAAATGTATGGTTTTATTAATAATATATAAGATTGGATTATTATTAATATAAAGTATATTAATAAGTATAATATAATTAAACTCAAAATTCTTATTGGGTAAAAAGAATTTAAATCTGTTAGATGATTTGCTATAGACTTGATAATAATAATAAAACTTGATAAACTATTTGATCGCTTTAAAGTCTTCATCGTGCCCAAAGTATTTAAATACTTTATAAAACTTATATATAAATGAATAACCGAATTAATAATGAATTTATTATAACTTGATTTCGATAAGATAGCAATCATCATTACCAATGAAATGGTTGATTAGTCCCTTGATATTGATATTCCATAGCAAAAATGCATAGCCGAATCGTTGATATATAGGATAGACATTTTTAGGTGTAATAGCAATATCATCAAGGTTGTCATACTTAAATCTAAATCTATCCATATTGGCTAAAGAAAGTAAGAATGGAAGATCGATTTCTATTATATTCCATTCTACTTCTCTAAATGAAAACTTGATATAAAATGAACTAATAAAAGTTATCGCTCTAATATCGTATTAGATTATTACTTATCCAGCAATAGCTTTATTATACTCAACATCCTCAATCTTTTTCTATACCAAATACTAATTATATTCGATAAATAATCTCTTAGCCACACCCATATCGATTATAATATCAAAGAACATATTAATACCATATCACTCGCCACTTGCAATGAATATTTCAACTATTAATTTATAAATGCTTATAGTATTGTTAAAATCAATTATTACTGAAAAACCATTACAAGCACCCATTAAAGTAAAGAATATCCTGAAGATCCCTCCAGAACCACTTATATCAATAAGATACTAATCAATGAGATAATCATCATTATCATCACTATTACTATCTCGATCATCTTTTTATCCAATATTAGTAATAAACTAATCATATTATTTCGTAAAGCTCTTATTATCGAGATTACTATACTTAATATAGTAATTCGTTTTAAATCGGTCTTTCTCTTTTTATATATACTTATAATATCTATAGCCCTTCTTCTTACAATCAGAAAAATAATAATTATCCTTATTTTTATCAACTGATACAGAGAAGGATTATCAATCAATATATTTATTATAAGATTTCTAAAAGAAAAAGCCTGAAGATATACTATTATAAAAACATTAATCTATAAGGAATATCTCAAATAAAGAATATGATTTTGGAAATGCCTTTCGATAAGAGTTAATAGTCTATTTAATCTGATTAATAAGCTCTGTAACAATTAAATAAGAATTGTATATCACAAAATAGCACTCCAAAATATTATTACACACAAACAAAATCTTAATATAATACAATTGAGAATTGCATATTATTCTGAGAATAATATACTAAAGAAAACATAAATCTATAATCATTATATTAAACACTTCCTGAGGCTCTGTAAATGGGTTTTTCTTAATATAATCCTTGAAAATGATATTATTCCACTTGAAAAACATATTCCATTAATATTCAGATCCTTCGAAATTGTTGATTATCATATTACACAAGCCTTAATACAAATCAGGAAAACTACTAAGATTTGTTTAATAATAATCTCTAGCTATATCCGCGAGCATAATCGAAAAGGCTATCATAATCATCTTCACTAATATAAATACCCTACAATAATACTCCCCAAATATAAAGATCTTCAGATTAAAGGAATCATCAATACCCTTATATCTATCATCATCCCTATAGATTTTCAAAAGATTAATAAGATAATAGCTCTGATTATATTAATCATCATCCTTGCAATTAGAATGATTAGAATAATCCCTATCCCTACCACCTCTACCATCATCTCTACCATCATTATCGCCACCTCTACCATTATTACTACCTCAATTACCACCCCAATTGTTATTATTATCCGGATCATTACCATTACCAGATAATTCTACAGAAATATTAATTGATAGAATTCTAGAGCCTGGTTCTAGTACTGGTAAAGGTGCACATAGAATTCGTATATCCCTAGATTGGAATAGAGCTAATTCTCTATATATATCAAGAGGAATAATCGAACCATTTGTAATTTTACTAGATTTTGATAAAGTTAGATAACCAGCTGAAGTATTATTCTGAGGTTTGATAAAAGGTTTGGCTTGTGATCTTAAATCGAGTTCGATAGGAAGGTAAGCTTATTTTGTAGATATAAATAATTGTACCTCATTAATCTAATATTCCAAAAGCTGATTCATAATCTAATCGTAATACTCTTTGCAGAGAAATGCTTTTATTAAAGCATTATTGAGATTTGTATTCATATTGATATAAACTTTATAATGTTATAAAACCTTACAAAAGTTATATAATATCAATTTATTAATACTCCTGAATAGAATTTGTTGAATAAATTCGAAATCGAATATAACTATATTCTAAAGAGATACATTAGTGATCCTTGTATTCGAATATATAACCATTCGAAAAAAAAAGTATCCATTGATTTGGTACTCTATTTCTATTTTGAATATATATTTTTTATAAAATTATCTAGTTTTATTAAGATTTTTTGAAAAGAAATAGTTTTGAGATTCTCTTTTGAACTTCAAATCCTTAGTAGTTTCCTGAGTTTTTCTTTTTTTAGCTATTATTTTGTTAAGAATATAGAGATTGAAAAAAACAGGAGAATAAAAAGGAACACTAATCATATCTTTATAGAAAGAAGTCTTGAACTCCTGTTACAGAGGATTGGTATCGTTAGTTATCGTATCGATAAATCCTCCTATACCAGTAAATTGATCGGATAGAATAGATTTCTTATTAATATCAGATTTCTTACCAGTTTGCTTAGAGCTAGTGCTAATGCTTCCCCAGAATGTCATAGTACTGACAACAGGAAATAAAAGAAGTAAAAGTGAGAAGGTATTTTGAATAAGTAAATTAAGTAATTTGTGATATTACTAATTAATATTAATTCAATAATGAGATCAGGAATATAGGAGACATGGTTCCCACTATCATTAATAGGCCCCTAAATATCTGTATTGTATTCTGTCTAAAGAGCTAGCTAATGAGGGGAAGTAGTAGGCCTTATATAGACACTACTGAAAGAGCTAGTCTCCTTCGCATTCGCCTAAATACCTTTGATACAGTAGCCATTATATTGAAGTCATTCTTTTGAAGTGAATTCCCTTGTTCACACAAGAATAGAATTTATAATTATATATATTGATTCTATTTCTCCAATTATATATTCTATCTTATCCATATTATATATATTCTTGAGTTTATAATATTGTTTTTCGATTTATATTTGAAATATTAAAAATCATACTAAATTGTTTTAAATGTAATTTTTTATATCTTACAAATTCTAATTTATAAGAATAGGTTTTTTTAAGTTTGGGATATTGATTTAAGAATCTATAAATCCATTATTGATTTATATAATTTAATTAAAAAGATAAAAAGATAAATAGTAATACGAAAATAATATATTGATTTAGAATTTCTTGGGCCATTTTTTTCAATAACTTAGAAATTGCAAAGTATTCTGTTGGTATCACCATGGGGATGGTGAAGTAATATAGTACTAATGATTCACACTGTTGTAATATTGCTTGAGGTTCTAAAAGCTAAAGGCTACGAAACGTACGATATAGTGTTGGTGCGCTAGCGCCTGCACTAGTGCGATCACATGGCTCCTGTCACATGATCCCTGTCCCAACATATTCAGTAACTATTAATTATAAGATTCATTATACTAAAGTTTTTTCTTTTATATTGAAAAGTTTTTGAAAGGATTTATAAGATTAAGAGTATAATTATTATTTAGTTATTTGATTTATTAAGATTAACTTCGGAATTTTAAAATAAATAGCAATATTTTGAATTGAAGTAAATTCTTTATTTTTTAGATTTTCTATAGCCTTTTGAATATTATTTTCCAATTCACTATGATTTAATGATTTTCGATTTATTATATATTGAATAAATACATAAAATAAAGAAATAAAGGGATGATTTTAACTCATATTATAACATAACCCACTTCTAGTCAAGTTACATTATAACTTTTCAAATATTCGGTATGGAGAAGCTCCTGTTGGGCCACTACGATTTTCCAGACCAATCCCTCCGCGAACTGCCAATCGAACTATAAATACCGGTCAAGAAGCAAGATCATGCTACCGAGCACATCCTTATTGGTTAAAGACAGCACGGCAGTATATTAATAAGGTCCCCCTAGATGAGATAAAGCACGAATGGTTCGATATAAACAATCCGCCTTTACATGATGCCAGTCAATCCGAAGACTGTTTATTTTTAGATGTGATGGTACCTACTACGATTTTCGATAAAAGTTCAAAGATTGAGACATGCGATGATGAACCAAGTGCCCCTTGTGACGACAACAGGTTCACGACATGATAGTAAATGAATCAATTATCGATACTAGAGAATAACAAACTACTGTACAAAGGGTGAACCTGTAAGAGGCTTTTATAGGTCCGGAGGGGACCAGGAGGGGACCAAGAGGGGACCAAAAGCGAAGCGAGATTTGACCTGCCAGGTGGGGCAAATGGATGACTAATCTAGGCCTGAGGCCAGATCGTCACACCCCTGTTCTAGTTTGGATTGATGGTGGTGGCTTTACTGGTGGATACAAGCATGAAACTAATCCTGTAGGATTAATCGAGAATTCAATGGTATTAAAGGAAGAGTTCGTCTATGTTTCCATAAACTACAGACTTGGTCTTTACGTTAGTATAATCATGATCATTCTTAAATAAATATGCTAATTTTATAGGGTTTCCTAGGTGGACCACTTCTGAAAGCCGATGGAGATGCAAATGCAGGTCTGCTTGATCAAAGACTAGCTTTAGAATGGGTCCAGGAGTTTATTTACTTATTTGGAGGTGACAAGAACCGAGTTACTGTCATGGGTGAATCGGCCGGCGGTGGATCCATACTACATCAAATAACTGCATATGGTGGAATGAGAGGTCCCCCGCCATTTCAACAAGCTATCCTACAAAGTCCGGGGTTCCAGCCAAATCCAGGAAGTTATCAACAAGAAAGAATCTCACATCATGTCTTGAACGACGCAAGTAGCTTTTCAAATAGATCGATTACAACTATTGATGATTTACGAACAGTGGATACTCGGACATTGGCTAAAGTCAATGATTTCATCGTTGCAAATTCTCCTTATGGCCTTTATACATTCGGTCCAACTATCGATGGAACCTTTGTACCAGCACTCCCTGGTCAAGTTCTAGCTGATAAGAATTTTCACACTTCTCTGGCATTAATGATAGGAGGAAATGATCAAGAAGGTGTTTTGTTCACTTCACCGTATATTTTGAACCAGGCAGATTATGTTGCCAATCTTAAATGGTTGTTTCCAAGGGCTCCCGATTTGTTAATTTATGACATTTTCGCCCTTTATCCCGACCAATTCGATGGGAAATATGGTTATACGAGTGAAATGATGAGGGCGGCTGTTACTAGTGCAGAGTCCTGCTTTGTATGCAATACGAGATACCTGAATGCTAAAGTCGGAAACAAGTCATACGTTTATTCATTTAATGTACCTCCAGCATTACACGCAGACGATGTTGCATATACATTTTATAATGGTCCGGGGAGTGTTACATGGGATGGAAAACCTGTATTTGGAGGCGCGGCACTTTCTCTTCAAGATTACATTGTGAATTTTGTGACTACTGGTACTCCGAATGGAAGAAGGGTTCCTGATTTTCCTCAATATGGAAGCGAATCGAATGTTTTGAGTATTAACTCATCCTTTTTGGGAACTATCTCTGTTGATCCTTTAGTAAGGGGGAAATGTGAATGGTGGCAGAAAGCGCTTTACTATTGATTACATTTGTCGTTTTTTGTGTGAACAAGGGTATTCACTTCGAAGGAATGACTTCAATACAATGGCTACTGTATCAATAGTATTAGGCGAATGCGAAAGAGACTAGCTCTTTCAGTAGTGCCTATATAAGGCCTACTATTTTCCCACTTAGCTAGCTCTTTAGATAGAATACAATTAGATATTTAGGAGCTACGAATACGTGGGTGCTACGTCTTCCGTATCCTTCTCGAACCAACATCTTTCTTCATGTATGACGCGTAACAGGAATTCTGATTCGCGAGACTTTCGGATTCAAAGCAGTTCATGTCTGAATGATATAGTATGTATTAGTAGACTTCAATTTAGCGTTTAATCGTTTCATCTTGTTATTCTTTAACTTCATTTTAATTCTTTAGTATGATCTCTTTTCATTCTTCGTCATCTATAGAACTTGATTATTATAAGATTTATAAATTTAATATTTCAGTTATAGTAACGTGAAATAAATATCTCTTATTTATTTACTCTGAGTAGGAATAAATGAAACTTTAAACTTTTGAATAAAACTTTTAAATAAAACTTTTGAATAAAATCTTACTAAAAATATATATGGAATTCGAAAAAATAAAATAATTTCTTTTAGCTATAAAAGTTATATAATAAATCGAATGACTATTAATAAAAATTTAATATAATTTTTGTTGAATAAATGATTTAAGTTCTAAAGATAGGAATGAGAAGATTTATTATAAATTGTTGGTTCGAGAAAGATACGGGAGACGTGGTTCCCACTATTCGTAGGCCCCTAAATGTCTGTATTATATTCTATCAAAAGAGCTAGCTAAATGGGAGAATATTAGGCCTTATATAGGCACTACTGAAAGAGCTAGTCTCTTTCGCATTCGCCTAATATCTTTGATATAGTAGCCATTGTATTGAAGTCATTCCTTTGAAATGAATACCCTTGTTCACACATAAATAAATAAAGTTTTCAATATTATATAAAAATGTAAGAGGGCGCTAGTTTATCAAAAAGTAGAAAAATGATAACTTAAAGAATTCAATTACGATATATTAGATTAGTAATACATCTAGTTTCTGGTTTTTACTTTAGAAATAACGTAACTTGACTAAAAGTGGTGTTACGGGGTGACACTAAGCCCTTTCTGTCCTGTCCTGTCCTGCTATATATGTGAGAGTAAGGTAGAACTTCCAGTTCTACCTCCTAGTCTTTTGGGTGTTTAGCTCAGCGGTAAAGCTTCTGAATACTCCCAGAGGTGATCCCGTGACAAGTGGGTCATATTATGATATGGATCAAAATCATTCCCTTATTTCTTTATTTTATATATTTATTTAATATATAATAAATCAAAAGTTATTAAATCATAATGAATCGAAAGATAATATTCAAAAGGCTATAGAAAGTCTAAAAAATAAAGAATTTATTTTAATTTAAAGTATTGTTATTCATTTTAAGATTCCGAAATCAATTTTGATAAATCGAATAATTAAATAATAATTACACTTTCAATCTTACAAATTCTTTTAAAAACTTTTCAACATAAAAGAGAAGATTCTAATACAATGGATTTTACAATTAATAGCTACTGGATATTCTATAATTCCTAGATTGTTAAAAGAAATGGTCTAAGAAATTCTAAATCAATATATTATTTTCATATTATTATTTATTTCTTTATCTTTTTAATTAAATTATATAGATCAACAATGAATTTATAGATTCTTAAATCAATATTCTAAATTTAAAGAAATCTATTTTTATAAATTAGAATCTATAAAATATAAAAAAGCTATATTTGAAATAATTTCAATATAGTTTTCAATATTTCAAGTACAAATCGAAAAATAATATTATGAATTCAAGAATATATATAATATAGATAAAATAGAATATATAATTGGAAAAACAGAATCAATATATATAATCGTGAATTCTACTCTTAAATCGAATTGGAAGGTTATAATAGAAAAGCAAAAATGGATAATTATATTGGAATATATGAATATAGATGGAGGCTCTTTGCTTTTTATAATCATTTTTAAGGCTCAGAATATCAATATTATATAAATTCTAATTAATATTTCTCCAAATTAGTATTTCTCAATAAGTAATAGTAAATAGACTTCTAATAATTATAGCTTTAAATAGATATATAAGGTTTTTAAATCAGAATCTCAAAAAATATTAGGAGATCAATCTCGATTATTAATTATAAATAATCATTCTAGTTATATTATAGGAAGTTTAATTGCTTTTTGTATTAAAAAAATTAATCTTTTTATTCTATTATCTTATTATTTATATTTACTTTAGCTATTAAATATTAAAATATATAAATTAATAAAGCAATATTATATCTAAAAGGTTGATTGATATTTTCGAGTAGGAATATAACGAATACAATGATTTGATTGGATATAGCTTTTCAAAAGATAAAAGAAAAAGGTTTTATTTATTAAAATATCAAAAGTGGATGGAAAGGAGTAGGTTTAAATCCATTTAGTTTTTATTAAGTTCTAAATAATCTTTTAATTCTATTTTTATTATTACTTTTCATTTCAAATATACTAATAAATCCAAAAGATCTAAATCTTTTTTTGTTTAATAATTTTCCTCTAAATAATATTAAGCTATAATAAGTAAATAAGGTATTCAATTCAGCTTTATCTATTAATAATCTGTTTACTTTTCTAATACAAAGATATGTAAAGCAAATAACTTATCAGATTGAAAGTTTAAATACTGAAAATACTATTTTTTAAAAGGAATTTCAAGAATATAAAGAATTACTTGAAATACAAAAAAAACGAAAAAATGGAAAGAGAATAAAGTTAAAAGGTGAATTTGTATTTAATATTAAAGAAGTATTGAAAATTATTAAAAAGACTAAACAAACATCCTTATCAAAACAACAATGTAATAGATTATCCAAATATTAAATTGATTAGGTAAAAGAGGAAATGGAAAAGGAAGAGGATAATAATAGTTCAGTTGGATTAGTGATAATTGTAAATCACCCTGTAGTATATAGGACAAGGTCAAATAGGAAAATATGATTTTTGTGACTCATATCATGACATGACCCACTTCTAGTCAAGTTACGTTATTAATATTGGTTTATAATTCTAATCGATTATATTCTATATCATTATTAAAGTTTTATTCAAATAATAAACTGATTAATATATATAGAATATCTCTTTTTATTTAATCTATAGATTATTTAAATTCTTTTATTTAATCTTTCCTAGTTCAAAAATGTTTTAATCTAATTATATATATCAGGGAGCGACCACCTGATAGGGTTTATATAGTAGATCCACTGTTCCGAACGCATTCGGAACACTCTACGCTTTTGTAGGTTAGTGGTAAAGTGGATCAACCCTAACAATATAGGTTTCTTTAAGTTCTTTCTTTTTATTTAGTTGTAGTAATTTTGAGTATTTTATTAGTAAAAGAATTTAGAAAAACATTATCTCTTTTTGATTTATTTTATCAAAGCTTTTATTTTTGTTATATTTTAAATCTCTTCGAAAGTCAGTCTTCTTCTATTTCAATCTTTATTTAAATTTTTCATAATTTATTGAATCTTTTTGATTAATATTATATAAGAATGTATAAACCTTCTTTTTTGTCACGGGATCACTTCTGGGAATATTCAGAAGCTTTACCGCTAAGCTAAACGCCCAAAAGACTAGAAGGTAGAACTGGAAGTTCTACCTTACTCTTATATATATAGCAGGACAGGACAGGACAGAAAGGGCTTAGTATCACCCCGTGACATTTTTATAATTATATCTAAAATTCGAAAATAAGAAAGTTTCAATCAGTAAATAATCATTGCTACAAATTTATTATAGAGATAATTTCTATTAAACTTAATTATTATATAATATAAATTAAATATTAAGTATTATTTCTTATTTGTATATATTAAAGTGTTTAGTATCAAAAGACTCAAGCCCCGTAGAATAATTTACTAAATATTAAATATTTCTAAAATCTAGAGATTGAATAAAGACATGAAATTAATAAATTATAATAATGCTATCTATTTATCAATATAATAAGGGCCTTGATGGATTATATCGAACATACTTTTAATAGAAGATCTTTCTTTTCTAGGCATAACAGCCTAATTGACTATACTTGATCATTATTAAGATACTTTCAATAGTTGAATCTGACTTAACCAGCGCCGTTGTTGTCATGGCCAGTCTTTTATGGGAGTATAACTACATAGTAACTATTGAAAACTTATAGTCAATGGCGAGGCACGAGGCAACATTCGAAGTATTATCAATAAGTGAAGAGGGGTATGGGAAAAGTCATAAGTTTTGAATTTCTGAATTTTATAAGACTACGACCTGCGTGAAACCCGAAAGTGCCAGCTTTAGATATATGCAACTCCACTCAACCTAACTTCCCCAAAAGACCATACCCAGTATGCAGACGTTTGCGATATGAAAAGAATCCAGTACCAAGACCATACGAGATTCCTTGATTATCAAGCGTTAGCAAGGATGAAATGATTGAGCCATCTCCAGTGTCCAATTATTTTGAGTTACTCTGCATTCTTCTTCTTTTTTCTTGCGTGAAATTTCTCGTTTCTCTTCTCGTTCTTTCTGCAACTTCGCTTCCTCAATCTCCTTAATTTTGGCCCAGTTTTGGAAAGCATCTTTGTTCTGCGTACAACATATCACAACTTCTCGTGTAGCTAGAACATCCTCCAAGCAGTCGTGAATGGCACCTTTGTTCTTTCTAATCTCTAACTTGAGAAGCTCAGAGCACATTGTTGACAACCCCCAAGTTCGATTGAAGCCAACTTCTTTTTTTGCAAGAATCGCGGAGTCTACAACACGGGGGTGTATTATCCTCAGTGCATCTAAGTCATTTTCTAAAGCATGACCGATGAGGACTGTGTCAGCATCTATAAGTTCCCACAACTTGGATCGGGCCTCTTCCCAACCATCCAGTGCCTGACCTCGTGAGACAGCTTCATTGAGAGTGTGTATACTTATGCCATGGATGGATGATCTCATATCGTTAATGCGCTCTTTCGGACATATGAGATGATTAAGAATCACTGCACCTGAAACGAAGTCGACTGCGCAGAGCAAGATCGGCTCACCACCACCACCACCACCACCGGCTACTCCTGCCATTTCACAATCGATGACAACCGCCAGATGTTTGGGTTCATTAGAAGCGGTTGGTGTCTGTTGAAAGTCCTGGTGTCTGAATGATCTCAAGGGAAATTGAAAATCATGTATTGGCAAAGTCTGGCAACCGTGGGAGTCTGGTTCGGTTCCGTTGATCCTGCAGCATTTGTAAGGCTTTTTGACATTCTGCAGAGTTTGAACTATCAGTATAATCCTGGCACAGATCTTCGTCACATCTCAAAGAATAAATACGTACCCACTTGTTACGCTTGTATGGATGAAAGGTGCATGGTTTTTCGTAATCAACTCTTAGTTCTCGAACTATAATCGAGTCAGTTTAAATATTCAAAACTAAAATCAAGCATGGAAAACTTGCCGTTACAACGCTTGCATTTTCGAGAATCGACATAGTCCGACTTATTATATGGTTGTGTAATGTAGTTATTAGACTGGAGATCTTCCCGCGAATGGCAATGAGAAGATAATGTGTCTAGCACCATCCGAGACTCAGATTCATGAAACGTTGACCAAAGTGATTCTACGACTGGTACAATCATCGCGACAGTAGAACTAGGAATTTGGGTTGGAGTGTGAGTGGAGATAACTGGGGTCGGAAGCTGATAATATCTGTCTGGAACTGTATGATTCAAATATAAAGAAGCGCCATTATTTTGACCATAATTCATTTGGATGGATTGAGAAGGAGTTGCCTGTTGATATGGCGTTTGTCCAGAATTTGTATGGTTGGATCCGACTGGATGGAAAATATTGATATTGCCTTGAATAGAATTCTTGTGAATCGATGAGTTATTGACATGTTGTTCTAAACTTCTTTGATCTTTAAAAGACCTTTGACAGAGGCTGCAGAAGGCCGACATGGTGTAATGTTGAAATTGATCAATTCAATTGTCTTTTTGGATCGATTGATTTGAGGTGGTTGGCGGTGAGTAAGATAGCTAGGTAGGCATGAAAAGAATTCACCCGCTTCCTTCCTGCCTGAGTAGGCAACACAAAAGTCTGGGGTAGTACTGAAATAGTACTGGGCTAGTGAATCTTGAAACAACATAATATTCAAGTTTGATTGGTAGCATTGTTGTTACGCCGCGTCTTTATATTGTCCACCAAACAGAAAGAAGTCAACAACCGTCGACATTAGGGATCTAGCCTAGCTAGGTATATCCTACCACAATCATTGACGGATCTCGTCCAAAGAGTTATGGTTATAATATCCCAACGTTTGGACACACCTCAAACTTTAAGAAATTGCGAAATCAAACAGAAAAAAACTTGGAGGCATGAAAAGGAGTGCTACTTGCCTCTGTCGTGTCGATTGGCGATGAGCTCAAGTGACTACTATACTAGTACTTAAAACAACTATTATAATTTCATTTGATCGAAGTTATAAAATTGGAATTCTTCAATGCCATATCCAATCTGCATATTCTCCATTAGTTAAAATCGCCTCTCAACAATCTTAAGATCTTCATAAAGAGCTATTCAGAAATCATAAACGCGATCAAAATACTTCTTCGATCCTGATTAACATTGCGTAAGTTGATGCGCCTCGAGTTCTCCAACGAACATCGAGAAGCGTTTGCCATGACACCACAGCAGTCAATCGAGGTGCGAGTGCTCATCTATCTATATCGAAAATTCGTCTAAATCTACTTTCTCTTCTACTTTAGTAAAATTATAATTTACTCGTCGACGTTCTTGTAGTTGAAGGTGAGCCATTGATTCCGGTTCTTAGTATCGATTCAGCAATTTTATGAAGGTTCGCAATACTGCAATGACTCATCTTCGTGAATATAGGAAAAGCTCCGATAGATGTAATGATCCTTCTAATGAAAAATCATCCACGGCAGTTGATGATTAATCGCGTGTTGAATTGAAAGAGACAATCAAATGGCCAAAAAGTACGTAGAGTCATGAAAACTACGTTTTTTCTTCCATACAACACCTACAGTCGTAGGTTAGGGTGGCTATTATGCTGTTATATGCACTATTAACTTCACGTCAGACATAGTAGAACGGTATACTAATGTCAACACTTGAACCGCCTAAGCATAACCACTGCGGTAAGCTGTCTTTACCTGATCCAACCCATACTTGGCCATCCACTCCGCAGCTCTATAATACCCCTGAATCGAATGGCCTATCGGACCAAATTCAGTCCCAAAATTACAAGTCACCTCTTGAGGCAAGATATAACGATGGCCTCTCCAGTCTCGGAAATGATACGGAGGAGCAAGCGGTGTCCGATCCCAATGATTCAAAAAGTCCCAAGCTCGGATCTGGTATCGCTCGTAATGTTCATTGAGCAATGTGAGATAGCCCATATCACCTGCTCCCGTACTTGCAAATGTGAGGTGTTGGATAAGTGACCCAAGGTTGTCATCGGACGCCCAGTCTTGAGGAGATGAACATTGAGAGCCATAGGTGTGGCGGACATGTTCAACAATGCTCGTGAATCCCAGACTACAAATCACCTATCAGCTTATTTCCTAGACATATGATGCAAAAAATTGAGACCTTACGTGCTCACCCCTCCGCCCATGGAGTATCCAGCAATAATCAATTTCTTTGGCACTATGTTATGATCCTGCATTGTAGTGACTGCGTCACCGAGAGCGGAGAATACGGCAGCTTTCATTCCGTTCCACATGTCCAAGTAGAAACTGTGGACTCTATTCCCATCAACATATACAGGATATGGAAGATCCCACCAGTTCGGACCCTTACCATCCATCAGTCCATAGGTTTAGGGCTAGTTTGAATGTACAAATCCACACTGGATCCACTGAATATTCAACTCTTTTTAAAAGCGAATTTTGAATTTATATTTAAACATCAAATTACGGATTTTATCAAATAATCCGCATTTCAATGAATTTAATATATTTCGAGATAGAGAGGAAATAGATCACTCTAAAATGACACTAAATAATCCGCGTTTTTCACCAAATTTGTATAGGAAAACAAAGGCACGGATTGAAAACAAAGATTAGAAAAAGCAATCCTCGTTTTCAATCTGATAAATAATCCGCGTTTTTATAAACTTTTATAGACCTTTCACCCTATATCCATATAGTATTATAATAATATTAATACTTCAAATATCTAAAGTTATAGAGTATCTTTATTTTTCTTCAAATCGTCTCTAATTTCGATTTAGATTACTTTACATTTCTATTCCCCACATATTAGAATATATATAGCTTAGTTTAAAAATAGATTCTTTAATATTCTTTTTATTATAGCTTTAGATTCTATTAATGATTTAGATTGTAAACTGCCTTTTTCTTATTCACAATAAGCAACAATAAGATTAATGATTCTGAACAGTTTATTCCTATCTTGATTTATAATTTAGCTACTGTTATTAGCTCTTTTTATTATACTCCAATTTCGAAAAAAAGAACTAATACTCCTGGTGAATTTAAAATACAATTTCTTCTTGATTCTAAACACCCTTAACATTATCAAAAACAACTACATATACCTCTACGCACTTTTCGACTTTTAATCGAGTTTTATCACAAAAAAACAAAACTACAACATTCTCAATATACTTCAATTAATCAAAAACTATACATATTTCTCTATATCATAGACCAGCATAGAATTATACATAATACAGCTGAAGCCTTTTCTCATTCTAAAGAAACAATCCACAGGTATAAAAAACACTCTATTTATTTATTTGTTTATTTATATTAATTAATGTCTGTTTTGGACCTCCCTAAGGGTATTTAGATGTGCTAAGATAAGGAACTATTTGAGCGGCGTAATCGTCGCAATCGAATTTAGTAATTTAACTTTAATACTAGAGGCTATTCGCTCCTCTACAGGTATAATCCGCTTTTTGTTTCTAGAAGGGAATATCTGATCTGGGTTGTTGTTGAGACAGAGCTTGGTTTTTAGATGGATAGGCTTATTGTAGGCTTCGATCCTTATAATAGAGGAGAAGAAGTGAGAGTGGATTGCTATTTGTTTAGTCAAATAATAGGGCTTTTGTATTATATATTGGATTTATAGTTTTTAGAGATATAGTATATTTAAATGATTAATTAAATAATGAGTTTATAAAGAATGAGCAATAAGTTTTATTGAAAAGATTGTTGTTTTCTAAAGGTCCTTTAGTAATTAGGACAGATTTGAATATAGAATTTTGAGTTAGTAATTAGCTGAGTGAGTTTGCTAGATGTGTATAAGAGTTTTTTGATATATATGATTGCCTACTTATTAGATTGTATTTCTATAAAGGCAAGGAATCAGTCTGAACACTTTAAATTATTTATAGTATATTTAAAAAAGTAATATAATTCCTTAGTATTGTTGTATAAGCAATTCAGTTTGTTGTTTTAATAACCAAATCACTGATGATAAGCAGTATAGTTGTTGTGGTTTGTTTTTATAGCTATCAGTTGATATAAGATTGCTTTAATAAAGTTAGTTTCTTTGATTTCTTTATACTGTATCTAGAAGACCATTCCTTATAGCTAATAAAGAAAAAGGAGTTTATTTCTTTCTATCAGATAGATTTTGTGTATAGACATTTCTGATAAATAATTATTCAGACTTTATTGATTATTGATAGCTTATCAATTACCTGATCCATAGGCCTAATTGCACTTACATTTGCTAAGCAATCTGTTTCCTTATTGCCTTCAATCTCTATATATCCAGATAACCACTTTATCCTGACATCGAGTTGTTTCATTGCTTTGTGATACTTGTGAAAGGCCCTAAAAAACACTTTATATAAATCTACTTATTGGTTTATTCTAATACGCTTTAAAATGGTTTTATCAAGTTTTAGATGCTATAATGATATTATACCCATTAATAGTAAAGCTACCGGATTTAACTATATAATTCGCTCTTCCTCGAGTAACAGAAAATGAAAAATATCGTATATATTTTATAAATTGCCTAGAAGCTCTCAATAACATCTTTATTCTAGCAACAATACCTTTCAAAGATTGATCTACTTATTTCAATCGAAAAAGATATACTACACAAAATGTTCTTGCAATAATTACTTTCAATTTACAATTTTGCTATATATTAGTCGATTGGGAAGGTTTGTGAATAATCAAAAAGTACTTTCAGATACTTTGATTTCAAAAGATTTATGAATTTTAAAAGGTTATTATTATTTAGATAATATAGGATATATAAATATTGAACAGATTCTTATTCCATTCAAAGGGGTAAGATATTATTTATAAAAACAATTGGGATCTAATAAGATATCTAAAACACCAAAAGAGCTTTTCACCTTCAATACTTTTCTTTATAAAATAAGATTGAGAGAATTTTTGGAGTACTCAAAATACACTTTCTATTTTTAATACAATAATCAAAATACCTATATACAATTTAAATACATATACTTTATACTTTATACACTCTATACGAGGAAGGGACGATTCACATATACTCCTTATTTATTTCCCCTACCCTGGTAGGCTTAATTCTATCAAATCTTGTAACCACAGAAGGCTCCCATCACGCCAATAGCGATATACACCCCTGGCACACCAAGCGATTCCTCAATCCAAGAGGTGCTTCCCCTCAAGCAGTTACTAATACCTCAGGGGCTGGCATACAGCCCCTACCAATTATAAGATTGCCTATAGACTCTGTCTTTAGTGTAATCAAAAAATAATTTGAAAAAATCAATAAGATAGAGGGGAAGAATAAAAGATAATCAAGGTATTCGCAATACTAGCAAATAAATTTATATAAGGGTTCCAAAACCAACAATACAAATTCGCTATAAAGTTTAAAAGTACAATCATTTCTACTCTGCTAGGAGTAATGGAGACTATTCTTGATTAAGAAAAAAAGCTTGTAATAGAGCAACTATAACCAGAAAGTAATATATAGAAAACCTACACTGATATATTGAAAACTCAAATGAGGCCTAAGGCAGCAAGCCTTATTACAGGCTCCATTAATACAATACGCTCTGCTTCTAGTGGAAGTACGAATATTGATTGCTCAGGAGCATGTAGATTTAAAAGGGAGAATGATTGGATCGAGAAAACAATTCTTATAATAGCTAGCAGGAAAGCTTTACTTTCAGAAACTAGTTTATTCCTGTTAAGACTCAGAATAAAAGAGGCAGTTGCTGGAATCACATTAGTAGAGATCCCCTTTCTTTAAAGGAATAATACAGACTAGATATTAAGGTACAGCTTTAATACTAATTGGGAAAAGATTATAAAAACAGAAAATATCAAGTGAGTATTTAAAACCCTTTATGCAATAAGTATGTGTAAATTAGAAAAATGATTTATATATGTAGTTCTATAAATACCACACGATTTCTATCATATCGAAAATGCTCCTGCTTCTATACCCATTGAGCTTATCAAGGAGGAGATTACAGTTCAAACTGGCAAGCAGTTAATCAATTATAGATTGGCATGTAGCGGGGTCAACTCAATTATTAAAAGAGCCATCTGAATCATTGGCTTCAATATTGCAATACTGCGGTTTCGATTATTTAATAATAGCTCCTACTCGATTCTCCTAGACAAACCCAGGAAATTCAACTTTACAGTATTGGTTATCTAGGGTACTATAACCTCTTTATCTGTAATAAAGCCCCAAGATGCTCGATATATAATAAACTAAATATTAAGTATAAAAGCGCATTTATATATTAATAATACACTAAAGCACATTGTACATACAACAAATTTCGAAGGAAACTTTTTCTTCGAAATACGATCTGTTCACGATCGATTTAGATCATAATTATTAAACCAAATTGATTGCAATTGCCCCCCAGTAATTCTGACTAGTAGTTGTTGTGCTACTGTTGTTGGCGCTTCGAACACGAAATATACACGAAAATTCGCGTAAAAATTTTCTTATTCCGAATTACTAGAATAAGAACTAGATCTTCAATATAAGCTTTCTTAACAATCCATTAACACTTAGGGATATGGTTATGATGGAGGCTTCTTTTGAAGCCTCTATTATACTAAATATTTATTCTATTGTTGTTCTAGGTACTCTAATATCTTTAAGCCCTTTCTTGTTTTTTGAAAACCCTCAATTCGAAATCTCTAGTTTTATCCTATCAATCAATCAGCTAATTAGTTCTGGAAGAAGATTTGAAGAATTTAATTTATTTAGTAACCCCTTTATTACTCAAGATATAACTAATACTATTTATATATTCAATTAGAATAAGAAACGGGGCTCTACAATATCCCTTAACAATTAGAATAATAATCTAGAATCCAAAATAATCTAAATATATTTAAGGAAGCTATTTTGAAAGCTAGAGATCTTATAATGCTAGCTTTCTCTTTTTTCCCAATCACGTAAAAAACAATCCAAACTTTTAGATCTTTTAGAAATCTTTAGAGAATATATTGAAAAGGAGAAGCTTACTATAGCTTCGAATATTATTATTTTTTAAATTATCTATTTGGAAACTACTATATACAAAATCGAATTATAAGTAAAAGCATTAACTAAACCTCTTCCACCCACTACTATTATTATTATTATATTAAAATCAATATACACTAATATTTCAAAAAAAGGAGAATGGAATTTAGTCCCCAAAGGAAAAAACATTATATTTATTAATATAAAAAAGAAATCTAATCTTATTTAAAAACAAATTATCTTAATCAAACCAGATTTTCCAAATCCTACCTCCTTTTCTTCTTTAATTATTCAAAACAAAATAAATAAAGCCTTTTAAAAAATTAGAATTAA